GCTATCTGGAAGCTTTCTTCTTCTTGTTTTCTCTTCTTCACGTGGGGCTTAGCTACAATAGGTAAGTTTAATTTCAGTTGGTTAATTCTTGAGTTTTAAGCTTAGTTTTGATTCTTTGGGAATTAAATAAGCTTAAGGAAAGCTTATATGGGATTTAAACAATAAGATAAAGGAATTATGAAGGAATTTGCAATATGAGTTTTAAGATGAAATTTTGATATGGTATAGTTGTTGAAGTTTTATGGATGAATTTGACTTGTCATCAATCTAATTAAGAAGTATGAAGTGTTAGAATTGGAATTAGAACACATTGAAAATTTGGTATGATTCTTGAATCTCATATGGAAGATAGGATTTTGAGGTTTAAGATGAAATAAATGAATATAGATTGGTTTAAGTATGTGTACTAGAGTTAAGAATGAAAAGGGGATGATATATGAAGTGTTTGAGAGGAAATGAAGAAATTTTCGGGTTGAAAATATGATTTCTGGGCAAGGGGAATCGGTACCCATTCAAGGGGAACCGATACCCCTTCAAACGAACAAAATTTCCAGAATGTCATGAGGGAATCGATACCCCCTTAGTAGGGAACCGATTCCCCCTAAAGGAAAATTGTAAATATTGGTTTAATAAGTTCGTTTAAGTTGCTAGTATCCAACTACAAGGTGTATGTATCTAATGATTGCCTCAAAATGTACATTTATGTAGATTCTGCGCATAAAGCAATTCCGGAACATTTGGCAAGTAAGATCGATCAAGGGAAAGATAAGAGATTGGAATTTACTAGTGAGGCCAAGGTGAGTGCATACTAGTGACATGTAGTGTTTAATGGAAATAAGACTTGCGATGAGTCTATTTCCTAGAGTAATATGCATGAACTCATGGACATGATTATGTGTGGTTATAATTATATGTGATTATCTGTATTACATTGATTGTATGTATGCATGACTAAAGATAATGACATGCTTTGTATATGCTATATGATTTATGTAAGACTTTATTATGTAATAATGGAAGAACATGGAATAAGTTATATGATATGGTATAAGTGATTATACGAGAAATGTTAGGAGACTCTAAGAGAATAGTATGAATCCGAGGGCATAAATAAGGATACATAAGTTATATAGGGAAGATTGATAAATTAAAGGAAACTATGGTTTATGTATTATAGTGAAGAGCTACAAAGTTTTATTAAAGAGTATTGTGGAAGTCATGAGAAATTGAACTAAATAAATAGATGGTTTATGTGAGTGGAAAAGGAAAATGATATAAAATAAATGGAAATTATTTATAAGATAGCATGAGACTAATTGAACATGTAATATAAACTTTATAAAGGAGTACTTGGGTAAAATCATTATATGATACAATTATAGAGTATTACTATACAAATTATATTAAAATATGATATATGAGAATATGAGTAAGTTTATAGGATATTGATAGGACATATAAGAATATTTAAATGTATGATGATATGAAAAAGGGAATACAAAGAAATGGAGCATCAGGTAGATAATATGATATCAGTTATTATATATCTATATGATATATGCCATCAGGTAATATGAAAGGACTCTGAAAATTGATATAAGCTATGAGAAAATGTTATAGGTGTTTCTATGTGTTATATGAAGCATATATGATCATATGTGAACAAGATATGATATGTATGTTTATATGAATATCTGAGAAATGATCTAAGCTATATGATATGTTATGTGACATGTAAATGTGACTCATATGAAAATGTTCTATGAGTAATTGAACTATGTGTTATGTGAAATGATAAGTATAAAAGAAAATGCCCATGTTATATGTCTTGAGAGCTAGGGGTATAGTTGGCATGCCAAGAGTCGAGGGTTTACCTATGTTCTACAGAACATATGGACAGTTTTACCTATGTCTTTCGAGACATATGGACAGTATACCTATGTTCTAAGGAACATATGGACAGTTTACCTAGGTTCTTCGTGACCTATGGACAGTTACCGAGGATCTTTATGACCTCTGGATAGTTACCGAGGATCTTTATGACCTCTGGATAGTTACCGAGGATCTTTATAACCTCTGGATAGGTCCTTCGGGACATTTATATGAGCTATGATGACAGCATAGTGGTGCACAACCTCAATAGACTCACATATCTACAGTTCTCACAGGTGTACATGGGCTATTCAAGAGATATAAACAAATATATGTTAGTGATATGATAAATGTATTACAAATGATATGATGTTGTGTGTGTATAGTGTTTGATTGAAAAGGTTAAGCATAAAAGTATGTGATTACATGATAAACTGCTAATGATGATTTATGTGTATGTATGTATTTATTGTTAATTAATCTGATATAATTTTACATGATATGAGGAAATCATGTAATTTGGTATAGCATGATAGAACAGAACATGCATATATTGATATATGTTATAAAGTGCATTATAAGTTTTTATGCCTCACTAAGTCTTTGACTTAGCGTGTGATTGTTTCACACGTAGGTTTCGAGAAGAGTAAAGAGTAATGCGGAGCAAGACATGTCAGTTTTCCTTACCAAATGTCGGATCAGAAAATATAGGTACTGTATATAGAGTGTAGTTGGCATGTAGTCTAAAGATATAAATTGTATGAACTCTGATATATTTTGTAAACGTTTTGAATAAGTTAAATGTTATCAAAGTTTTTTTTTAAATTACTCACTATTTTATACGAATAAATGTTTGAAAAGTCAATGTGACACTTCAGACTCGTATCCGGGTCGGATACGAGTTGGGGGTGTTACACTAGTGTTGAAAAGCTTCAAAACTAAAGGGGAAGTATCGACACTCTTAAGGGAATATCGATACTAGGACCTTGGGTATCGATACTCCCTAGAGTACCGATACCAAAATGGCATTCTGGAATCCCAGTCTCGATACCAAACCCCTTGGTCTCGATACCAAACCCTCAGTATCGATACCCCTTTAAGGGGGATCGATACTATTCATCAAAATTCTCTGATCTAGGCTTTTCTCAAGAACAATAACGATATCACTCCATGCAGTATCGATATCAACCCTTTAAAATGCCCTATTTGGGCCAGAAACTTGTCCCTTTACTCTCTAAAATCCCTACCTTAAGGTTTTCCAATTAGTTATTAAGTATTATGTGATTACAGGGGTCATAAACAAGGCTTAAAAACATGCTAAAAACATCAAACATTAAATCTACCATGGAATTATACTCAACATGCTTAAAACTTAGCTTTATAGCTAAAACTCATTTATAATGATATACAATTGGTATAAGGAAGCTGTGAGTGTGTTACCTGATTTCTCTCGTTGCTAAAGCTCCTCTCAAAATAACTTGTGGTTACCTTTTTCTTCCCCCTTGACTTTGAACTTTCACCAACTTCTTTAGCTAATAAAAGGGAAGAAAAGAGTTTACTAACTTGTTTAGAACTTGGAAATAGGATTAAATACACTCTAACAACCTAATTTTACTAAAACTAACTTTAATCCTTTAAATTTTCATAAAAACCCATTTTTTAAAACCATGTTCAAAACTAAAGATTTAGGGCTTAGATTTTAGCTTAAGGGATAGAGTTAAAACTCTTACCTTGGTTAGCTTAAACTAGATTTGAGAATCTTAAAGCTTCTACCTTTGCTTGCTCTTAGGGAGGAAGAAAAAGAGAGAAAAGGATTATATTTTTAGAGGCTTGGTTTCATGTGAAAAACTCTAAGTTTAAGGGATTTTTATCATTTAAAACCATCTAGGGGTAAATTGCTAATTTGATCACTCTCCTTTTTAAACACATATTAAAATCATCACTTACCCTATGTTCTTGGGCAAAACTTAGGCCCACTACTCTTATAAACTGGTCCAAATAGGTTTAGGAGGTCTAATGGGTTCGATTTATGGGTTTCGGGTTGACCAAAACTACTGACTCAAAAATCGGGATATTACATAGATAACTGATCATATTTGCAATTTTGTAAAAAGAAAATATAATTTTAAGATAACCATATTTAAAATGTATAATTGTAATGAATTTTAGTAATATATACTAATTTTAATATATATAATTCAATTGAAGTGCCATTTATCAAAATTTTTGGGCTGCATAGAACATTCCATTTCCATATCCAACTCATATCTCTCGTCTTGATGGACGCATTCATACACACAAATATTTCGGATAAATGTTCAATTTATTCAAAATTTGTCAAAATTAATTATTTTTTCTTTTAAATACTTAAACTACACTAAGTTGGTACAATAGAATTTCTTAAATAAAGTTAGGAGTTCGAAATCTTTGTGATTGTGAATGAAACAAACTGAATTAAGAGAATCACCCTCATTATATGCTTATGCAAAACTCGATCTGATTAATAAGATATTTATTTGATTATAAATTACAATATATTACTAATTAAAATAATTTAGATATCTAAAAAAAAAAATAATATTAAAGAAACTCGCACTTAAATAAAAATAAATTTAAATTAACAAATCAAATATATAAATTATACATGATAAAACTAAAATCTGAATACTTGAAATTTCCAAAATCTCAAATCACCATTACAACCAGCTAAAATTTATCCAAATTTAAGTTAATATTCATATTTGTTAATGTTTTCCAACAACTTAATTAGCACTCCACCGAAGACCATCAAGAGACGAGCTATAAGCCCAATTGTTGATGCAATCCAATCAAATCAAAGAGCAGTAAACTTCCGAGTAGTTCTCTTGGCAAAAAGTGAACGAAACAGGGAAGCTTCACGACAAAAATATAGTGGAGAGATGGCCTTGTTTGTCAAAAAGAGAAATATATCTCTAACGAAAAGACAGATATATAACTTCTAAAACAAGTAGAAAGTGCCCAATGAACAAAACTTCTCGGCTGAGTAGAAATTGTCCCGTCTTTTTAATCATGAATGAGCGTGGACTGGGCAGCAACTTCTAATAATTATTAAAAGTATTTTATCGTCCAATGATGTGAACTCCTTCGTATCTAACTTGTAGAGAAAGGTACTGGGAACCGAGTGATCATGTTTTATATATATAGCAGCTGGACCGACGGTCATTTTTGTGAAGAACTGCCAAGGCTGAATTCATTAGTTACTCAGTGGGAATTACTTTAATATGGCCAGCGGAATAGCGTTTGATCTGCTCCTTGGAGTTGGTAACGACCACGAAAACGAAGTTTTCGAGCTTTCTTACGCTGCATTCGCTGAAGAGTTGCAGCTCCAGGAGATCCTTAAGGAGTCCATGGTCGCTTCTGAAAATGCAGCTTGCGAAGCCACCAAGAAACCTGGATGTCCTGTCTGCTATAGATTGTCCTGCATGGAATGTTCTACCCCACACCAGGGCTCAGGGTTTCCAGAGCCTCAGGTCATCGACCTCGCGGAGAGGGCAGCACCTTGTTCCCATCAAAGATTTAGATGCATTGAGCAACAAAGGATAAACGAGAATGACAACGAAAGGGAGCGTTTCCCGTGGAGGAGACCTACAGAAAGATTCAGGGGAAGGAGGATGGGAGATGTTCCTCAGGCTCAAACCAGTTCAAGGTCAGTGTATTCTTAACTTTCTTTTAATATATATATTAACTAACATCAGCAACTTTGGTTGACATTTATTTAAAACAATTCTCTAGCAATGAATTTCAAGCAAAAACCAGTTCATTGGGCGAAAACGATCTAATTGCTGGCATCGGTAATACTGAGGATCCTAAGAGTAAAGGCATAGCCATGGATGATGGCTGGTTGCTGGAGGATAACAATACAAATGCTGTTCAGGAAGATGATTATGATTCCTTGAACGACGAGGATGAGTTTGATTCCGACTACAGTCAAAAGAGCCATGAGAGTGGTAAAAAGAGTACCTGGTTCAAGGAATTTTTCGAGAGAATGGATGCTTTGAACATTGAGGAGATCGATGAAACTCTGTGGCACTGTCCAGCATGCATAGGTGGTCCTGGTGCCACCAAATGGTACAGAAGCATCAGTGACCTGATTGCACATTCCAAAAAGATTGGATCGAGAAGGGTGAAGTTACATCGAGAGCTTGCAAAGATTCTAGAAACGGAGCTGTGCATTAAGGGAACCTCAATTCTTCATGCAGGCCCTATATCTGGTACATGGAAAGGTTTAACAGACGATGCATTCGCTGAAGAGCTGCAGCTCGAGGAGATCCTTAAGGAGTCCATGGTCGCTTTTGAAAATGCAGCTTGCGAAGCCACCAAGAAACCTGGATGTTCTTTCTGCAATAGATTGTCCTGCATGGAATGTTGTACCCCCCACCAGGGCTCAGGGTTTCCAGAGCCTCAGGTCATCAACCTTGCGGAGAGGGCAGTACATCGTTCCCATCAGAGATTTAGATGCATTGAGCAACAAAGGATAAACGAGAATGACAACGGAAGTGAGCGTTTCCAGTGGAGGAGACCTACAGCAAGATTCTGGGGAAGGAGGATGGGAGATGTTCCTCAGGCTCAAAATAGTTCAAGGTCAGTGTTTTCTTAACTTGTTTTTAATATATATAATATATTAACTAACATCAGCAACTTTGGTTGACATTTATTTAAAACAATTCTCCAGCAATGAATTTCATGCAAAAACCAGTTCATTGGGCGAAAGCGATCTAATTGCTGGCACCGTTAATACTGAGGATCCTAAGGATAAAGGCATAGCCATTGATGATGGCTGGTTGCTGGTCTCTAAATGGAAATCCGACAGCAGAGTTGGAAACAGAGCTGACAAACTGTGGGTTGATGCCCATCATCCTAATCCTTTAAAGGGTTCAAAGGATAACAATACAAATGCTGTTCAGGAAGATGATTATGATTCCTTGAACGACGAGGATGAGTTTGATTCCGACTACAATCAAAAGAGCCATGAGAGTGGTAAAAAGAGTACCTGGTTCAAGGAATTTTTCGAGAGAAAGGATGCTTTGAACATTGAGGAGATCGATGAAACTCCGTGGCACTGTCCAGCATGCAAAGGTGGTCCTGGTGCCACCAAATGGTACAGAAGCATCAGTGACCTTATTGCACATTCCAAAAATATTGGATCGAGAAGGGTGAAGTTACATCGAGAGCTTGCAAAGCTTCTAGAAACGGAGCTGTGCATTAAGGGAACCTCAATTCCTCCTGCTGGCCCTATATCTGGTACATGGAAAGGTTTAACAGACGATGCAAGAGATCATGAACTGGTTTGGCCTCCCATGGTTGTCATTAGTAACACGTTGACGAGCAATATTCAAGATGGAAAGGTGATACGATCAACCATTATTCTTTTGGTTTTTAACGGTTGTATTAATGATGCTTCTTTCATCTAATATGGAATGTGCAATTTCTTTCAGTTCATTGGCATGGGAAATCAAGAGCTTCTTGAGCACTTCAGCTCGTATCCGGCTTTAAAGGCTCAACACTCCTATGGTCCTAAAGGTCACCGTGGTTTGAGTGTCTTGATTTTCGAGAAGTCTGCGGTAGGTTATCTAGAAGCTGAGAGGCTACATAAGAATTTTCTCGAGCAACGATTAGGTCGATCTGCTTGGAATTCTTGTACAAACGAGGTCCTTCCCAGTGGAGAGCGTCAACTTTACGGTTACATGGCACTGAAGGAAGACCTAGATGTCTTCAACCAGCATTTCCAAGGTACTCTTAGCCACTCGTACTGTTGAGGGTATCAATTAGTTGTTCTGGATGATTCAACTAACATGCTCAAGATTTACACTTGCTTCTAGTTCATTCTCTCTTCAAGTGACATGTTATTGTTATTGGTTAGGTAAATCCAAGATCAAATTTGAGCTGAAATCATATCAAGAAGCGGTCCTGAATGAAATCAAGGAAATGAAGGAGAACAGCCAACATGTCATCTTGTTGAAGGATAGGCTTGAAGAAGAAACAAAACGAGCAGAAGTTTTTGAAAGATCAGTTAATAATCTGAGTAGGAACCTACAACAAAAAATGGAGGACATCCGTATATTTGAAAAAAGGGTCAAATCAATGCATGAAGAAAACGAAGAAGAGGTAATACTGGAACAAATTCCAGTTGAAATTTCCCTTGTGTGCATTAGGTTGCTATTAAATACACATATTGGTGACTGAAAGTCGAGTGTTGAATTTCTCAGATTGAATCCCAGGAGAGCTTTTACAAGGATCAAATCAAGATTCTTGAAGCAAGAGTGAAAGAGCTTGAAGGGAAGTTGCAGGTATTAGGTGCAAATACTTTACTTACAGGAGAACCTGACACGGCCAACCTAAGGGAGGAGTGTAGTAACACCAATTCAACAGCAACCTTGGTATCGACGAGGATTCAAATTTGAAGAATGGAAATCTCTCAATGAAGAGTGAATTTTAAACATCCAAACTATGAGTTTCAAGACTTTAAAGCAACTCCTGAAGTAATATTAATGTATGATGTGGATGCCTTGTTGGGTACCATATAATTGTTCTTTAGTTCCCACCAATTTATAGTCGAGATTTACTTATAAGGACTGGTTTAGCATTGATTCTAAAAACTATTTTTGAAAATTAAGTTTTTTAAATTTCTATGGGGTAAACTGTGTCAATAGTCCTTTTTATTTTCGGTCTGACTGATTTTGGTTATTGATTTTTTTTTACCATCAATTAAATTCACCATTTTTCCAACCATTTAGAGGAGGGTGGCTACGATGTTGAAACTTATTTTCTAAGAGGAGGAGAAGAAAATTGTGGGGTTTTTTAATTTTTAATTGTCAATTCAGACTTCGGTTAATGTTAGTGGAAGTTGACGACGGGAGGATTTAAACTAAACGGACCAATGATATAAGGGACCAAACACACTTAATTAAAAAATTGATAACTAAAGCCGGTCATTCTAAAATTAAAGGGGACTATTGTCATAATTTACCCATTTCTTTATTTTTCAAAAGTGATATTAAAGATGGATAAAAGAAGGAACAGATTTTAAGGGTTACCCCTTGATGAAGGAGTTCAATCAGACTAAGGATCTTCAGTTAAATTACTATAAAATCTATGCCGCTTCCTCCACTTTGTTAGAAGAAAAAAAATACAAAAAAGGGGAGCCTTGTGGAGTGTAGAGACAGTTAGTAGAGAGTCTGATACGATCATGGCACAAATGAATCCATCATCTGATCTTGATTTTGTTGATGATTTTTACTTTTCGGCACTCTTTGATGAAAGCGAAGATGAAATCTTTCCTCCGTCCGACGACAAGTATGCCGAGGAGTTGCAGTTTCAAGAGGCTCTCATGTCATCAACAGTCTCTTCGAACAAGGGTAAAAGCGCCATCTGCAACTCATACATCGCCAATGTTTCATCGCCCATATTAATCCAAGTCATGCCCCTGCCCGGCCCCATGGACACGGAAACAAAGGCAGCCGGTGAATCCTCCTTAAGTTTCTGTGAGATTTGCGTTGAAAGGAAAGAAAATGATCAGATGTTCACAACGGAAACCTGCAATCACTCTTACTGTTCTGATTGCATCACCAAGCATGTCTTGACAAGGGTTGAAGAAAGCGTGACCATTATAAGGTGCCCCGGAGTGAATTGCGGGACTGTCTTGGAACTCGATGTCTGTAGGCCTCTGCTTCCCGAGCCGGTAATCCATCGATGGGAAGATGCTCTTTGTCTGGAGTTTATTAATGCTTCCCAGAGATTTTACTGCCCTTTCAGGGATTGCTCGGCCTTGTTGCTGAATGATGGAGGGGAAGCTATTAGAGAATCTGAGTGCCCTTTCTGCCATAGATTGTTTTGTGCACAATGTTATGTGCCATGGCATCCGGGGATCGAATGTGCAGAATTACAGAGTCTTAATGAGGATGAAAGAGGCAGAGAAGATCTCATGTTGAGGGAACTTGCCAATGAGCAAAAATGGTCTAGGTGCCCCAGGTGCAAATATTATGTTGAAAGAACATTAGGCTGCCCACATATGATTTGCAGGTCAGTTAAAATATTCTACTGATTTATAACACTGATTCATAAATTATAATGAATGATTTCCCTTGTCTTTGGAATTTGAATGATTAGATGTAGATTTTATGCTTGCATATACTGGAATAGGTAAAATTCCGTCGAACTCGTATAGTATAGATGTGTTTATAATGGACTCTTGAGAATTGTAGAACTGGACATGCTTCAAAACTTCTTAACAATAGCATTAGGAGTTGTCCTATGATCGTGGTTGCAGGTGTCAGTTCCAGTTTTGTTATGGTTGTGGGGAACAGTGGAATGATAATCACGGTGGTTGCTCGAGGAACTAAGAGCACAACAATTCAACAAGACCACAGTAAATGTTATCATCTTTTTAGTTGTTTTTAGTCTCTGAGAAAAATTTGCATCATATGTGGAGTAAGTTCAATTTGGTCTAATGTTCTAGTTTCTGAAAGACCAGACTCTTTGTTCAATTTAGTACTGAGAATTGCTAGTTATTATTCTAGTATTTGAATGATGTTTATCAGTTTTAGGTTTGTTTTGGGTTCAAATCCTGTTATCCTACCTATTACTGCTCCTTTGAGCTGTAACGGGAGAATCGTTTTAGATCGATTAAAATTAAGCATATATAATCTATCATTTTTTCCATATTATATATGATATATGATAGTATAGGTGTGCGCGATGTATTGAGGTTATAAAATAAAAGAATCATCTTTTTCACAATCTTATTTATTATGATAAGAAAGCGTTCTTAGTTCAGTTCGGTAGAACGTGGGTCTCCAAAACCCAATGTTGTAGGTTCAGATCCCACATAATGCGAGAATAGAACCCTATATTAAATATTATATTTCAGAAATTTACGAAATTTTCTATTGTATGATACGTGGTTGTACATCGACAAGCAAGAAGAAGAAAGAAATTAACTAGCACTTCATGTAGGTATACTCTAAAAATACCTTGGGTACAATATTGACGATCTCACAAAGATTGAGTTTCGATGAATTTTCATTTATTGATCCCATCTTTTACAGAATCGATCCCCTACAAGAATATGTGGAGCATCGATCCCCTACAAGAATATGTGGAGCTCAGCATGTCTGGAAGCACAGGAGAACGATCTTTTGCTAATATTATTACTAGTATTCGATACTAGGTCATTCATAGCATTACTATACCTTCTCTATTCATCGCGGGTTGGTTATTCGTCAGCACGGGTTTAGCTCATGATGTGTTTGGAAGCCCTCGTCTAAATGAGTATTTTATAGAGAGCCGACAAGGAATTCCATTAATAAATGACTACTTTGATTATTTGGAACAACTAGATGAATTTAGTAGATCTTTTTAGGAGGACCCAATGACCATAGATCGAACCTATCCAATCTCTACAGTGTGATGGCTGTTCACGGACTAGTTGTACTTGTTGTTACTTTTTTTGGGGTTAATATTCATCCAACGATAAACTTAATTCGAATTAATTATAGAGCTATGACAATCGAACGAATAAAATGTTGAATTAAATCATACTAGTCTCTATCGTGGGTTATTATCATGGTTATCAAAACCGGACCGAACCGGCCAGTTGAACCGTGAACCGTGAACCAGTGGCCTGTCCGGTCCGATTAACTTCCAAAATCAGTTTTGCAATGAACCGGCTGAGAACCAGTAGAACCGATTGAAAACCGGTGTTAACCGGCTGAGAACCGACAAAACCGGTATGAACCGTCGATTCTGTTTTTTTTATTTTAAAACAAAATTAAACCAAACGACGTCGTTTGTTAAACGCACCGAGTCGAACTCGAGTATTGCTGAGCTAAACTAAAACTTTAAAAGTAAGCTCAACTCGACTCAAAAACTCGCGAGCTAAAAATTATCAAACTCAACTTGAACTCGAAATATAATATTGAAACTTGAACTCGTAAAGGCTCGAACTCAAAAAAAAATTTAGAAGCTCAATTGAAGCCTAAAACTCGAGCTCGATTGAAGTGAAAAAATAGTTCACTCTATACTCACCAAAAGACTATGATTTTGAATGTCAAATTACCTCTATTATTTATAGAAGTCAGTTGGGATGCTCTTCTATGTTTTTTAGTCACGTGGGATTGTTTTGTTCTCCTATTTTGACTCTTTAGACTTTTGGGATGCTCTTCTATGTTTCTTAGTCATGTGAGATTGTTTTGTTCTCCTATTTTTGTTCTTCTATGCTCTTTAGATGTTTTCCTGTAGTGTTGTATATATTAATATTGTTTTGAATATTATGTAAAATTTTAAAAAATATATTATTTTATATAATCCGGTTGAACCAGGTTGAACCACGGTTAAACCAGTGAATCAGTACCTTCACCTGTTTAAGATCCGGTCCGGTTTTAAAAACATTGGTTATTACTCATTCTTGTACTTGCTGTTTTATTTTTCAATTATTTCTTCAATTAAAAAAAGAGTAGTAGAATATTAAATAGTAGTAGGAATTCTCTTATCCCATTGAGAAGGATTGTATCTCATAATTATCTATTATTGTTATTGTTCTTGATTGATCAAGTTAGTGGTTCATTTTCTGGTAGTCTATTTGTCAAATATACATGCTGAAAATGCACATTAAAAGCATTGATTTGTTAAGACAAAATGGGGTAACATTAAAGAAACCTTTTTATTTAGGTGGGATTAAAAGAGGAGAATAAAGGTGATAGTAGCTAAAGGAAGAACATGAACTTTTTCACATATTAATCTGTTGGAAATGTATAGTATGAGCGCTCCCTAATGACCTTTTTTCTTTTCTTAAGCTACTGCACCCTGTATGTTGTGCTATTTTCTGATCTTTAACTTAAGCAAGCAAATGTAGCCATACTGAGGAAATAGCTCTTTTTCTCTACTTAAGTTCCTTTATGTGCTAGTATTGTACCGATCTTACATCCAAGTCTTTGGCCGATTACATGATATTTTTAGGCACTCTTCTCTATTCATAATCTTGGGAGAATTTTGTAGCAAACAGAATGGATAATCCCCCGCTTTCATGAAGGACATTCCAGTGCAGTGAGTCTCTTTTCGATTTTGTTTGCTCATGTAGGAATCTGTTTTCCTTGAAGATAATCAGTGCTTTTAGTATGCAATATGAGATCTTCCAGTCTAGTAGATCTCTCACTTCTATTCAGTATCACGGCTACCCGTTTGTCATTCACCTGAACAGTTCTAGGATCGGGTGTGTTGCTTGAAACCAGTAAAGGGTCCCTGTATGAGTGATGAAGATGGGGTGGGGAACCAAGGTACCCATGATCCTGGCTAACAAATACAATGGCTACCCAGTAAACCGTTCTGTGACACATTGCATGGCTCGAGCTCTTCGGTCTGCACTGTGGGTTAACAAATACAAAGGCTAAGGAAGCAGAGCAAACGCT